CGCACACATATTTTCCTAGCGATTTTTAGGTACTGTATCCTTCGCGCAATTAAACTTTAGTGTGTGGTCCCTGTGTATAGGCTGCAGCAGAGTACATCGTTATTAATATTATTATTACTTTTTGTTTGTAAAACATCACAGTTTGTAAATTAAGTTTATTCAGAAAATCATCACAAATACTTTAAAACGTACCTGCCTCTATGCTCAGCTGTCCATACTTAATCAAGGAAATTGAGATGCTAGCAATATTATTTATGTTGTAAAAACCAATGATATGGTGCATGATGTTATGAGAAGTGAGCTTGCATTATTAAATCCATTGATAGAACAGTCTCAGTCTGGTCTTTTTTCATTCCCTTCATTAGTCTTTTTGACAAGTGTTAAAAGTAAATTCACAACAAAAAATTTACTTTAAAAAATTGTTAAAGATCATACTTCAGTGTTGTAAAATACTGTCTAAATGCAGCTGAGAATGCACCAGAGAGCATATAGTACCCTAAAGCTTTCGGGGCCCTCAATCAGGCGGGCCCCGAAACCCGGAAGGGCGCCTCGCACTGCACGCTCGGCAAGCTTACTTACAAGAACCCCCCCCCCCCCAAGGGCTGGCGCCTCGCACTGCACGCTTGGCAAGCTTACTTACAACTGATTTACCAGTAAAAATTTTTTAATTGGGAGAACACTGGGAAGGAAATGGCTTCCATATTGTAAGAACTGCACATGCTGGTATTACTCTTCGGTTGTTTCGGCCAAGATTGTGCCAGATCCAACATATGAATTGCCTGTATGGAACATGACGGTACAATCTAATACAGTAATGTTAATGCAGGACCCCAATGGAAATAAACCTGCTATTGGTTTTCTTGGGCTATCCTAGCCAATGTTTGTTAATGTTTCCCTGTGTGTTAACTTTTGGCTGAATAAATAAATGAATGAATGAGAAAAAAATATTTTTTTCAGATAATTGCTAAAGAAATTTACATGAAATTATTAAAGCTTGGAGAAATAGTTAAGTGGTGTTTTCCCCTTTCATCCAAATATTGGTCAATAATGGCAATTTCTGTAAAGCATGGACACTCTTGTTGCATTACTCACAAAAGCATATAGGTCTAAACAATTTTTACTATATTGTATATACTGTATATGCTTTATACAAATTGAAAAATACTGAAAATCAATAATGCTTTGGGAATAAATAGAATAATATGCCCTCTTCTTATCATCAGCAATAACTGACGACAAGACAAGATCCAGCAATTGACAAGACAAGATATATATATAAATAGTACAGTACTCTAATAAACAATTTATGTACAGTATTCTTATACACATCTAGATGTGTATAAGAGACAGCCACAATACTGTTCGTTGACAAGACAGCGATGAATGACAACAAATTTTTGATCGATCGACTCAAAAAAACAAACAAGCAAGCATTGCAAAACTTTCATCTCTCCCCTAAGCTGCAGGAATTTGTGCAATAGACTCGTAATCCAGACGAATTTTAAAACTGGTGGAGTAGTATTATACTTGTAGCAGTTTTTCAATACGTCTGGAATGAGAGTCTGAGTTGTATAAATTCCTGTAGCTTAGGCGGACTATCGTTCGCAAAAGTTTTCCAATGAATTGTTCGCTCTGGAATCAATCA